ACGTTGATGTTGATCCCATTAGCAAGTTTCTGGGCCTCCGCAGACCTGTTGTTGCCGCCCATGATCAAGCCATACCTGTGAATGTGGTGGGTCATTAGCTCCTTAAGGATACCAAACATTTGCATAGCCAGTTCTCTAGTAGGAGACAGAATAAGAGCCCCTGTTCTGTTCCTGGGCATGAACTTTAACTTAACAATGAGTTTAATCACAGGGATGAGAAATGCAAGGGTTTTGCCACTGCCTGTTTTTGCAGCTGCTAAGAGATCCCTGCCTTCCAGAAGTGGTCTAATACTTTTATGTTGAATTTAATTTCAGTCATGTTTGTGAAACCCATTTCTTTTACTGCCTTCAGAGTGTTTTCATTGACAAGATCAGTTAGAGAAGCAAAAGAAGTATCCTCAAAAGCTCCTGTCAGTCCCAGGGACAGGCTGGGCACCTTGCTGTCACCGTCCTCACCACCTGACTTTTCCACACCGTCTTTTATTTGTCCAGGAGTCTTAGTGCTTTCTTTAGTTTTTGCTTGTTTTGTATCAGGCCCAGCATCATTCACTAATTTTCTTCTTTTTCTTTTTTTGATTCTGAGTTGGGAGACTGTGTTGCTGCTTCTGCCTTGCCTACCATGGCAGGTTTCTGGGAGGGACTTTTGAACTCTGACATTTTCCACTGTGTCTTCACGCTCATCTCCATTTTGAGTTTCTGTCAATCTCCCGTTTGTGGAATATTTCAGAGGTTTTTTAACTTTTCTGATGTTCCTTCTTTCTTCAGGCTCATTTCCATTTTGAGCTTCAGACAAGCTGGCAGTCACAGAAAGTTCTGCAGATTTTTTAACTTTCCCAACTTGCCCTGTTTCTTCAGACACATCTCCATTTTCAGTTTCAGACAAGCCCCCATTTGTAGAATGTTTTAGGGATTTTTAAAACTGTTTTTAAAATCTTGTTTCTTTGGGCACAATGCCATTTTGAATTTCTTACAGGCTCACATTGGAAGTTTCCAGCAGCTTTAGGTTCTGCTGCCGCAGTTTGAGGTTCTACTTCTCGATCTTACGCAGGAGTTTCATCTGCAAGTGCGACATGCTTGTGGAGAAACCCAGGGTCCCAGCATGACTCTCCCAGCTGACGTTACTTCCTTCCCACTCTTTGTGTATTTCTAAACTTAAGTGAACCTGATAGATGTTCTCACGCTTGGATATAGGGGGGCGGGGTGGGGTGGGGTGGGGGTGGGGTGGCTAAGTAGTTTCCAATTTGTGGTCAACAAAATCGAATCCGACAATTTTTAGCAATTCATTAAAAGAATATTCTGGGAAAAACTAATGATTAGACACATTTTCTGATTTTATAAGAAAAGGAACTTAGCTTCTTTATTTTTAACACTGGTCTTGAATATTAATAAAAAGAAACCGTAAGTGAAAAAATAAAGATTAATTAGGGCAATTCATCTCAATTACTGGAGGAAAAACACATCACTATCTTAGCTTCCAAATGCAGTACGTACTAAAGTAAAAGAGAAGTTTAGATAGTTCAAAGATTCTCAGAAAAGACTAGTGACCCAGGGTAAAAGATAAGACTGTCTTTTTGTAGATGACAGAGGTGTCACTGGGTATAGCAACTAGTATACCCTGTGAATATCAGTAACGCTAGATGCAGGATGTTTCTGCCTAATGGGTTGTGGAGTTGTAGAATAAAACACAGCCAGAGAAGTGGCGTAAATCAAGAAGCACATGTACCATAGAAAGAAATTTTATTTCTGGAATGGATGTAAAAAGACTTAAGTCCATAAAGGCATTTGAGGAATTCAAGAATATAGGTGATTGTAGCTGGATTAGGGTAATAATAAAAGTGGAAAGATTGAAGTTCAGCAGAAAGACTTGACAACACTTTTACTAGATTGTGGGGCTTTGAATAGGATTAATGGTAAGGACAGCGTTACAAACCAGATATTTTCCTAGATAATCAGGCAGATAGTATTGTTTGTTGTGGAAGAAGACCAAATTTGATAGGGAGATAAACTTAGTTTTGTAAGTTTTTAATTGTGCCATGAGTCATTTGAGCAGAGACATTCAGGAGGAGATTGGATTTGGAAATCTTAGGTCCTTGAGAGACAGCTGACTAGAAAATTTTGAAATCATGAATATGTAAAATATTGACTCTGGCCATTTCGTGGACACCAGGTAACTGAGTGTGTGTAGAAGAGCTGAGTTGGAGGGGAATGAGATCCACTGGGTGCATGTGGTTTCAAACCTCATTTCTAACCCCGGATCTCAAAATGCATCGTGATTCCCACCCACTGGACTATAAGGTTTATGTAGGAAATCTTGGCAACAGTGGCAACAAGACTGAACTGGGATGGGCTTTTGGCTATTATGGACCACTGCCGAGTGTGTGGATTTCTAGAAACCCTCCTGGCTTTGCTTTTTCTTGAATTGAGGATCCCTGAGATGCAGTGGATGCTGTCCGAGAGCTAGATGGAAGAACATTATATGGCTGCCTTGTCAGAGTGGAACTATCCAATGGTGAAAAGAGAAGTCAAAATCGTGGCCTTTCTGCTTCTTGGGGTCGTCGCCTTCAAGATTATTATATTATCGGAGGAGGAGACCTCACCTCACCATACATCTCCACAAAGGAGAAGTTTCTCCTGCAGCAGAGCAGGTCTCTTTCTAGAGATAGGAGAAGAGAGAAATCACTGTCTAGGGAGAGAAATCACAAGCCGTCCCGTCCATGTCTAGATATCACAGCTGATCTAGGTCAAATGAAAGGAAATAGAAGATCAGTTTACAGGAGAAATGATATACAGGAATTAGCTTCACTGACTGGGAGTATGTACAGAAAATCCAAGTTTTGTGTGAGACTTCATAAGCTTGATGTGTTTTTAAGATGTTTTAGCTGTTCACCTTTGTGTCTTTGTGAACCACAATGTAATATAATTCTCTCTGGTTTGAGAGGGATCATACAAGGTGTGTAATACCAAGAATTGTTACTTTACAATGTTCCCTTAAGCTAAATTAAATTTGCTTTGAGCTTTAGTCTTGCACAGACTGAAAATAAACCTCTAAACTCTGCCTAGTTAAAATTGAACAAGACCTGTTTCATAGTTGAGACAGTAGTGTACAGATGTGCCACCAGGTACAGATAAAGGCCACATGTAAAACTAGGTGAGTTTGGTTTTAAAAATGGAACTGGTCTTTGTCCTGGGCAGTAGTTTCCTGGTTGGTATAGAATCAGATAAATTTCAAGAGTGTTTACCCTTGCTAGGTCACAAATGTTCCTTGTGATGCTTCCTACGAGTACATATCTGTTTTTATCTTTATTTGGAAACCTGAGATTTCAAAGAACCAATGTCCTGCCAGTTTAAGGGTACATTGTAGAGCTGAACTTTTATGTTACTGTGCAAGGTTTTTTCATGCTGTCATTTGTAATATGTTTTGTGAGACTCTTTGGAATTAAAGTTTTGGTTACAAATTGTTAAAAGAAAAAAAAAGTACTGACTCTTAACCTTCTTTTTGTTAACCTTAGTAATTGAGCACGTAAAGGGAAATAAGAGTCATACTGAAATTTGTAAGTTTGAATTATATAGACTATAAAAGCCTTTCTTGTATGCTTCTTTTCTTTGTTAAAAACAGACAGAATCTCACTATGTAGTTCAGGCTGGCCTTAAATTCACCATATCATACAATGAATGACAGTGCTCATGCCTCAACCTCTCGAGTGCTGGGATTACATGTGTGCGTCCCCTTGCCCACCTATTTGTGTATTTTTCTAATATTCAACTTGCAAGAATCATCGAAAAAGATGAACGAAGCCATGGCTGTGGGAGAGATTGTGTAGAGATGAAAAGACTCAAGTAGATAGAGGAAATTACATAGGTTTTATAGGAGACTTTTATAGGAGGTTTTATAGGTGAAACCAGAAGGTACATACAAAAGTAGGAGGTGGAGATTCCCAGAAATCTAGATATTTGAAGGCAGGAAGATTAGCAGCAGCAACAGATACTTCTTAGAGGTTATGTAACAAATGGACTGAAAAGTATTTACAGGCTTCAGCAGTGTGTTAGAACATCAGTGATTAACAGTGTATTTTCAGTAATGGGAATAGTTATGATTGGAGGATTAGTGAGTGCATAGTTGATAAGCAAGCAAAGTTAGGTCAATGTACACATCTTTTAGCAAATAGCTGCACAGATGTGGAGGGTGTATGGAGTAGCTAAAGGGGAAATGGTTTTATAAGGGTTTCTTTACAAAAAATGGGTTAATTTTATCTGTAATATTAAGTGTTCGTGGAAAAGATTGACAGTGGAATAGAGCAGCAGGATTTTTGAGGCATTGACTTTGGGGCTTCTCTACTGATAATTGATTACTAGAGAAATCTGGAAGCAAAACCTTTAGGACAATGGACTAGATGAGGAAAAGTAGGGCAAGTTTATATCAAGGAAGTTGTAGTTGTAAATATGTCTTTACATAGTATTGGATACACTTATATTCTTGCATACTGTATTTTGTAAACTTTCTTTTTCAATCAAATATATTTACAGTATGTTAATATTGTTGCTGTTGAAATAAACAGCTTTATCCACAACTCTTACAGATTCTCAGAGATCATTCAGTTAAATTTGAATATATTAGATTGTACATTTGATTTCAAAGTAATGGACTTAAAGGCTCAGGTAATATATTTGTGTTTTTGTATAGTATATTTATTTGTGGTGAGAGTGTTGGCAAATGGGAATTCTCACATGGGTTTTTACCCTTAAAATTCCCTAATGAATCATACTTGAGTTTGGCATGTGGTAATTATTGTTTGTTTTTACAATTGATAGATGAGAATTAGAAGAATATTTGAAGTAGATTAAAAATCCCTTGGGTTATTATGTTTGTACTTTTATTTCTATTTTTTTTTTTTAATTACATATATTTGGTCAGAAAGCCAGAAACTTTTCAATATGAATTAAGGAAGTAGCTCTGATAAATGTATTAATCTATGCTTTCTTTCATTTTCTTTTAATCACAGAAAAGCCTCCTAATAAAAGCAGTATGAGGATAGTAGTGGATTCAGAATCGAGAAAAAGAACGATAGGTTCCGGGGAGCCTGGAGGTCCTGCAAAGAAGACTTGGTTTGATAAGTAAGCTGGCAGGGAAAACTGAAGACTGGTTTTTCAGATTGTTACTGTATGATTATGACCATATAATATTTCCTTCTTTTGAAAATGTTGAATTATTCTATTGTACAGGCAGTCCAAAGTAAAATAAATGTTATTTTCTAGGCATTTGTAGTTTAGTTGTTTGGTACTAGGAAATCATTTTCTTATACAATGGATGGAATTTTTGAGGGCACTATTTTTCCTTATTTCACTTCTCCAAGAAAAACCATCCCTTACTTAAATAACTTAAATACTAGCTATATGTAGGAGGACACCCCCCTCAATTAGGGAAAAATTTATAGGAAAAAAAAATTGATCTGTACATCAGATTTGGGAACAGAATGCAGCATGTAGGCAGTTCCTATTAGGAGACAGAAAGTTTTATGCAGGGTTGGAAGAAATATGAAGAACTTCTAAGAAAAATATATGGGAACAATGTTGAGAGTATGATGATTCATTTATAAGTGTGCATGTAGTGGAAAGCGACTACTGCCACACCATTTGAGCTTTAGTAATGGGTAGCTCATAGTTGTGCTTTGTAATTAATTGTGTAATTTTGTGATTTGAGGCAAACTGTTAGGCACAGTTTTATATTTTTCAAATGTCAGTTGTGTATGTGTTTTTCTAGCACTTATGTTTTTGTCTGTTTAAGCTATAAAGAGGTTAATGGGGTCATTCTTTATATCCAGAAAATTAAATTTGAAATCATATCAAAATTTAAGAGTGGATACTTTTCAACAAGCTAGCTTATTTTGACATGGAAGAAGGTTTTATTTGAAAATAGTCTGATTGAGGATACTAAGACCTTTTCAGCTAAAGATGTTAAATAAGAACCCAAGAGTACCAAAGCATATGACAGAGTCCTTCTCAGGTATTTCCATGAAAGATGTTAACACTGTTAACTTGGGAATTTATTTGGAAGAAAATGTAAATTTCCTTTATCAACTTGTACTTTTTATTTTGGAGGCAAAAATTGGACTTAATTAAATATTTGCCTTATATGTGAAACTTTACTCCTTTGTAGTGGTGTAATGTGCTGATCAACTTGATTTTTGTTTACAGACCAAATTTTAATAGGACAAACAGCCCAGGCTTTCAGAAGAAGGTTCAGTTTGGGAATGAAAATACTAAACTTGAACTAAGAAAAGTTCCCCCAGAATTAAATAATATCAGCAAACTTAATGAACATTTTAGTCGATTTGGAACATTGGTTAATTTACAGGTAAGTGCCATAAAATGGTTCCATGTACTTGCTTAATTTAATGTAATACTAAAATATTTTTATAAAGAAATAGATAAAATTTGTTAACATTATAAAGTTAGGAAATCAGACATTGTGTCTTTCTGTTATTGTAATAAAACACCTTAGGGCCAGTGAGATAGCTCAGTGGTGTAAGTGTCTGACTGGCAAGCTCAAGGTCCTGAATTCAATCCCAGGTACCGAGGGTGGGGTGAGGAGGGGATAACTGAAAAACACTTACAAAAATAGTGAAAGTGGGAAAGGCATGTTTGAGATAGGGAAATAAAGATGTATAAAAAAAATTTAAAGGAACTGTTTCCTTTTCCACTTTCTATGTTCTTCACTTTCCCTTATCTTTATAAAATTTTATTATTACCGCTTACCATGTTTTGCTTTAGATTTTTCTATGTATTGGTGTGTCTGTATATACATAAACTTTTAGAAGTATTGGTAGTATGCCTATCTTATAGTTACTTACCTAATTTTGTATACCTTTTAATAGCATTAGGGTAATTCAGTGTACCACATTTGTATCTATACATTAAAAAAAGTTCCCAGTTCTTGATAACATTAACTACTAGTGGTAATATAAATCTAAAAATATAAACATGCAAAAAATATTTCAGAACTGAGGCAAAACATGTTATCTCTCTATTGTTCATTTATCCATCTTTTTTGGTTCTTTTTCTGTAACTACATATATTGCATTATTTAAAAAACATTTTTCCTGCCTGCTATGCTGGCCCTACCCTCAGGGCACACTGAGTGCAAATGAGACTGGGCATGGTGAGATGCTCCTGTAACCCCAGCTCTTGGGAGGCTGTAAACAGGTGGATTACTATGAGTCCAATCTGGTAGTGAGACCCTGAACACCCTGTAGATCCTTCTCTAAAATATATAGGGAGGGAAAAAAAGAAAGAAAACATTTTTCAAAATTATTTAAAATAAAATCCGTAAGTTTCACATTTATTAAACATTAGTGAAACCGATGCTTTTAAATTCTAAAAATGAATATTAAAGTGCTATCAAATCATTTTTTAAATTGTAACTAATATTTATTGAATTCTGTTTTTTGGTGTAAGTGAATTATTTCTTAAAGTAACACTGAGGAATGGATAGTTACTATTCCCACATGTAGCAGAGGATGTGAGACACAGCAAGGTTAATGCCTTGTTCATGCAGAAGTCAGTCCAGGTTTGAGCCAAGCAATATGATCTTTGTGTTGCTGCACACTGTGGTTTCTAAGTCACACTTGGGTAAACATTGATATTATTGAAACAGTCGAAAATTTGGAATGGTTTTTCTCCATTTTTTAATTATCAGGCTCATTTATTCCTTGAATTAATTACAAATTTGGGCTATTGCACGGATGGTTTTTATGTAATTTTGAGCTCAAGATCACCTGTTCCAAAGCAGAGTACTCTCTTCTTGCCAGGCAGGTACTCTGCTACTGAGCTGTATCCTGGACCCAGTACTTTCGTTTTTAGACTATATCTATCCATTTTGGCCATTGACTATAAAAATCCCCCCCCCCCCCCCCCCCCCGGTATATTTTAGGGAAGAGTCTACTGGGTTTTCAGGTCTCACTACATAGATGGGACTCGTAGTGATCCTCCTGTTTACAGCCTCCCAAGTGCTGGGATTATAGGTGCGCACCACCACACCCAGTCTCATTTGCTGTCTCAGTGTTCCCCGGCAGCAGGCCCTGCTTGCAGGCTCTTTAATCTGCTGAGCTGTTTAGCTGGCCCTTCGGAAATTCTTTCTTATATCCAATATTAAACCAAACGTGTAAAAAGAGAAACATTTTGGATGCTGTGTACAACGTTAATGCAAATAGTCCTCTGCTGTTAAATGTAAGAAGCTTTATTGATAGTATGAAAATCTTTGGTTACTATTTTTCCTGGACTAAATATACTGGTGACACTATAGATATAAGGAAACATGAAAGTAGTCTCTTACTTGGAAGGATCAGGATTTCATAACTTGAAGTTCCCCAGCCCTAAGAATTTTAATGTGTGAAGCAACAAATCCCTTTAGAAATTCATTTTTATATTTTAAATGTTAGGTTGCCTATAATGGTGATCCTGAAGGTGCCCTTATCCAATTTGCAACATATGAAGAAGCAAAGAAAGCAATATCAAGTACAGAAGCAGTATTAAACAACCGCTTTATTAAGGTTTATTGGCACAGAGAAGGGAGCACTCAGCAGTTACAAACTACATCCCCAAAGGTAAGAGAGAAATTTATGTGAAATTAAATACTTTCTTGGAGATCTCCTAGCATACTGTTTAATAGCAGAGTCATTGGAATTAGGAAGACATGAATTTATATTCTAGTTTTCCTACTATTAACTCTATAAATTTGAGAAGCTACCTCACCATCCTATTCTTTAAGTGTGACATCAATCCCTAATTTGGGGAATTAAAAGATGGTTTATATAAAGTATATAGAACAGTTCCTGGTAGATGAGAGACACTTCATAAATATAGCTATGTATATCTTATAAATTAAAATTGTTGGTTCATCTTAGAAATGTTTCTTCATTCTCTGTTTTCTCCACCCTACCCATTAGTGAGTATGTCAGTATTATATTGTATGTTAGATTGATAGCATAGACAGCTGGGTTATAGCACACTTTGTTTTTCAGTTGTTTGACCACAATGAAGGATAAATTGTATTTCTCCCCAAACTTTGTAACATATTTCTTTCAAAGAACACACACACAAAGAACACACACACATACAAACACAGGAAGGAAATTGAAAAACACTTGGGTTTTGATTATAAGCTGTGTTTAAAACATTTTTCTGTGTATGAAAAGTTTAGTAAAAAGTAACAAAAGTTAGTTTTATGCTCCCCAACTAATCAGATTGTTTAAAATTTTTTTCTTGTTCTGAGGTAATACAGCCTTTAGTCCAGCAGCCCATTTTACCTGTTGTGAAGCAGTCTGTCAAAGAGCGGTTAGGTCCAGTACCTTCAAGTACTGTTGAACCGGCAGAAGCCCAGAGTGCTAGTTCAGACCTTCCTCAGGTAAATGGAAGTTCCTTACCTGTCACATACTTCGTTTTCATGTAATTAATTTCACTTGGTTTGAATTACAGTTCATTGTGTATATTTTTCACTGAAATAAGATTGTGAATTGAACCCCACCTGTAAGTTTTTTACCATAATGTTTTTACTGTTAGGACTCTTCTTATAGTACTTCAATTCTTCCATTCAGTTAATACTTAACGGATAAGAAAGATTTCTCTGTGGAGAAGATAACTTTTCCGGAAAACTGCTGAAGAGTGGTTTAGTATAATATATCTTTATTTTTCCTGTCTTTTTATAGAATTCTTTTGTGCAGTAGACTGAACTGAAAGTTTTTGGGATAAGAGTGCTTAAAATACAAGGTTAAGCGTGCAGATATGACACTGTTTAAAGTTAGGTAGGCAGCTTACTTTGTGTAACTCCTGGGATTCTCTCCTCCATATGTCATTTCTTTCCATTTCGCCCACACTTGAGTAGCAGTTTCTTGTTTCTGTACTTTCAGTCTTCAAAACTTAGCTTTTCCATTGTTCCAGATGTTTTAGGATTTGCTGTAGAAAAATCAGGATAGTTTCCTACTTAGCTAGTAGATGCCATAATTAGCTAGGTACTATATAGGACACTTATTTCTAAGCTTGAGAAACAGACATATCTTAATTACTCAAATCTAATTAAAATGTACAGTTTTTTTACTTGTTAATACAGGATTTTAAAAATTTATGATTCCAGTATCAGTGGAAGGAACTTTAGCAATTACCTGGTTCAGGCTTCTTGTTTTACAATGCAGTTTTTAATGATTGAATAATATTGCATACTGTTTATTGCATACTGTTTACTTTTGTTTTTATATACACATTTCCCTGCCTCACTTCCTTTCATGCCTTTAAAAATGCCCACGTTTTTGTGCCTAGCATCAGTATACTCATATAATTGGTATATACTAGTAAAATCAGAATGTTCAAAATCCCAACAGATTTATATATGTTTGGGGAAACACTGAATATGTCCGTTTTAATTTTTTTAGAATGTAACTAAGTTATCTGTGAAGGACAGGTTGGGTTTTGTATCAAAGCCATCTGTTTCAGCAACTGAAAAGGTAAGAATAGCATGATGTGTTTGTCTTGGCTTCGTAAATGTTTTCAGGTGGCATCTTAATTTTTAATTTTTTTCATAGTTCCAAACTCCTGCTTAATAGTGTCTGTATTTCTTATACCTGCCCTTTTGCTTTCCTATTGCTGACAAAGCAAAATATTAGCCTCCTGTTATTTTTACATCAGCATTTTAATATTTGCTTACTTCCATGTGCTTGTTTTTTTTTTTTGTTTGTTTGTTTTTCCTGTTAATTTTCTTTTAGAGCTACTGTACATTTTAATTTAAAAGCTGGCAGCTTAATAGCAAGGGCCATAACCTAGGTATTTGACATGATTTTGAGCCCTGACTCTTCACTTACTAACTGCATGATGTTGGGCAGTACTTTTAACCTTTCTCAGTCTTTTTCTCATCAGTAAATGGTGATGGTAATATTTATCTTGTTTATGTGGTTTAGTGAAACTTTTATAAATGGAAGGAATGATATAGTTGTAAGGTTTTTATTACTAATAGTTGTTGAATAGATCCTGACTCTATGTACTTACTTTTTTTTTTAAGATGAAAGGATAGTACAAATTTTGTTAAAGCCATTATGGGGGCTGGGGAGATGGCTCAGTCGAATAAGTGCTTCCCTGGCAAGGGCAGGGGCCTGAGTTCAATCCCCGGTTCCACCAAAAAAAAAAAAAAAAAAAAAATCCATTATGGATCTGTCTTCTGTGTAGATGTGGGGTTTTATTTTGTTCGTTTTGGTGTGTGTGGATGCTGTGATGTTTAGTTTCATTTGAGGTATGTGATAGTGCAGTAGCACAGGATATTAGAATTAACCTATGGCCCAAATAGACTTAAAGCTCAAATAGTTTTATGTAATGAGCTATACATTATGAGTTGCTAAGCGAGACTATAATTGATGTCTGTTATTTTTAGTCCATGGCTCTTGGTATTCTGAACATTACAAAGAAAATTGACACTTATCTCATATAATCTAAATGATATGCTGTTATCTCTTGTTCTTCTGTATACTATTTCCCTTACTTTGTTAAAAGTTTGGTGATTCCAGAAATTTGAATCATTCTGTACATCAGACCTTTTTCTTGGTAATCTCAGTGTTTTTTCAGGCATAGCATGCCTAAAATTAGTATTTCCTATATAAATTCTTCTGGTTTCCAGCTTTGGACATGATGCCATCATTTTTTAAGGTGAATAATCTACAAACCTCAAGATCTGTACTCCCTCTTCTTTTTCACTGCTGCCTGACTTCCAGGTGCCATGTCTTATCTGGCCTCTTGAAATTCCTGCCTCTGTTTATAATTTACCATCTTATAACTGGACATACTTTAATATTAGCTCATTAGAAAAACTTTGAATTTCTCAATTATTTTGCCTCACAGCTTATTGATATACCTCAGTTATTGATTGGTCTGTTCTAGTTTTCCTTTCTGCCCTTAGGAGCATTTTTCTACTTACTCTCCCTTGCCTGTTTTTGGTAATTTTCTTCAAGTGCATTTTCTCTTGCCGATCTAAGTTCTAGGCATTCTTAAAATATTGAAGATCTTACTGAACTTTGCCATGAAGCCAGCACATTTTTCCATGTGGTGTCCCTTGTTTTAGAATTTTTGCATTAGTTTATGCTACTAAATTTAGCAGTATCGAATATTTATTTTGATTAAGTTTATCCTCGAATATAAATAACTCTGGAATTTAAAAAAAGCACTAAGATCTGTTATACTGAGAGTACTGCTGAGCAATTTGGGAGACACGTGAATACTACCTAGTTATGTTTAAAGGTGTTTAGATCAAGATTTTTAAATTGAAGTGTATGCTACTTACAGCTTTTATAAAATTTTCATACTGTGTTTAGATGCTGCTTTCATTGTTAGGGTTTTTATCTAGCTTTAAAATAGAAAGCATATATATAATATATATATATATTATTATAAGATAATAATATATATATATTATACTAATATAATAGCCACTAACTGAACTTACGAAAATCAATAATAACAGCAGGCTAATGATGGAAAAATTACTTGGTAAAGATCTCTTAAGGAAACTATTTACATAAGAATATGATTTGGTCATTTTAGTCTGTTTAGTATTTTCCTTTTGTATATTCTTGGTAGTTAGTGTTCCTCTACCCTATAAAGGGTTTTTAATGCAGAGTCCTTAGAGGCAAACATCCAGAGAATTCCTAAAATACTGTTCCCTATCATAACTTTTTTTCTAAATTGAAATGAGAAAGTTGAAAGCTCATATCTGTTACTATTAAAGCAAATAATACAATGAAATTTTTTATGACCTTTAAATAATATCTATGAAGCCCTTTTGTGCTTGTTCATTAAGATTTTTTTTTGTGAGCTTAGGAGAGAGAATAAGTGATGCTGTTAAGAGATTGCTGTAGTTATAAAGACTTACTTAAATAAATTTGTGGAAATGTTTGTAGCTTAGGCTCTAGAGATTTGTGAAGCATAAGGTGGTGGTGTATAAACCATCAGATTAGTTTCTAAAAGAAGGCATTAGACAGTTCAAATTATCTTACTAAAGTCTTTCTACATTTTATGAATGTAAAGGGAATGAATAATCAAGGGACCGGGCAGATGGCTCAGTAGAATAAGTGCCTGCCTGGCAAGCACAGGGTCCTGAGCTCAATCCCCATTACCACAAAAAAAAAAAGAAAGAAAAAAATATTCAGTAATCAATTTCAATTGTGTATTTAAATCCTTAGCTGCATCAGTTTTAGGTATTCATAATACAGAATATTATTTTTTAGTAGTAAATTTTTACCATCTAAAAATGCATCTTGGTCTCATGGTGATATTTAATTGTTATACCACAGAATTTTTAAAGAAAATTCCCATGCATGTCAACATTATAGAAACTTTATTTTGTGATATGATTATGATCCAAAGTAATTCACAGATAGGGTTAATAGTACATATAGAAGGTCATTGTAGGTAAAGTCCCTATGTAAAAATTGCAGCATGTGCAGTCTTACTTTTGTTGCTAAGACAAAATACCCAGTCCCATAGTTAAAGAAGGAAAGCTTTATGTTGGGTTTACAGTTTGTAGAGATTTTAGTCTATAATCTCCTGGCTCCAAGGCAGGGTTTCATGGAGGGGGGTTATCATAAAGGAGAAACAGTTCATGGCAGACAGAAGATAGCCAAAGCAGCAAGCAAGTAACAACAAGCAACCCTTTTTTTGTCTCTTATATTACATCCTTACCTTTGAGGCAGGTAGCACTCACATCCAGGGTGGTGAGCCCTTAATCCTATCTAGCACTGTGCCAAACCCATCAGGGGACTAGTTTAATAATCACACATTTTTAATCCCTGCATCATACACTAGATCCAGCCACTTCTGAAAAAGCTTTATCTATGACCACATGAGGCTTTGGGGGTATATTTAGACACAAGCCATAACATGCACAAACCCATTTTTAAAACACAGAAGGTGTGGTTATTTGGAAGTACAACTGCCTCAGCTTTGACTGTTCTTAGGAATTGTAGCATCTTCTTTTCCTATTGGATTGTCATTTCCTGCCATTGATTTCATTGAACTCTGTTGTTATCCTAGCTGTCAACCATCTGAATCTTTTTTTTTTCCACTAGATGTTTACAATAAATAAAATTCATTGAGGAGATTGGTGTATTATCAAAACTTGAAAAAAAAATTTAAATTGTGAATAGTGTCTGTATTCATAGAGTTCATTGTCTCCATAGTTTTACATTTTAATTCCTTTGAATTTTGGGCTGCATCTTGTTGTTGGTATTTATGGTTGTATCTTAATGGTAGACTCTTGATGGGAGGATATTAAAAAATGTATCTTTTCAGTCTTAAAATACCTTTTATTGGAAAGCCATGCCTTGCCTTTAAGTATTGTATTTCAAATCATAGTATGGTTACTTTCGTGAAAACACTGTGTAGTGAAAAAAAAAATGTAAAGATTGTTTCAGGAATGTAGAAAAGTGTCCAATTTAGTGAAAAAGTGCACCATAATTACTGCTATACTACAGTCATTTCTATATTTCCTGTGTTTCTTAAATAATTATCTTGTCTGTTGCAATATAAAGAGCAATTACAAAAAACAGACATTTGTGTATACTTCTAAAGTCTTATTGAGAATATCCTGTTGGCATTGGATAGCCAGTCATAGTTGCAGCTGCAGTAATAGGATGTGCATTTGCCTGTTGATTCATACCATTGTGCATATTTGCAACATTTCTTCAGTATTGCTGAGTACTATCATATCCAAGGAGAACATATCTTGAGTCCTTGAAGCTTAAGCTCAATGAAATATATTACCTGGTGGATGTCTTGTTTTTATGGAAGAAAGTTATTGGATAGAGCTTCTTCTAGGAATAAAGGAGTTTTATTCTTGACAAACAGTTTTATTCCCCTTGAAGGAACATCTCTTACAGTCTGATAACAAATATAAAGATGCTTCATAGGGTGGGCCAAATAGCTCAGTGGATTAAAGGGCCAGGAGTTTTATCACTTGGCCTGCTAGGCCAGGCCCGCCCCCAGTGCACGCTGAGACAGCAGTTGAGACTGTTGGGAGGCTGTAAAACAGGAGAGTCACTACAAGTCCAGTCTACATAGTGAGACTGTAGACCCTGTCCTAAATACCAAAAGAAAAAAAGCTTCATAAGGCACATTCCCTGTTTTGTGAAGTTAGAAAAATATGATGTTAAGTACCGTATGACTTGTTTTCTGGATTTCTCATTACTTTTATTATGGTAGTATGTATTTGACATTAGAAGAAAAGGTTTGATATTTACACTCTTCAGCTTACTTGAGTATAAAGATTTTTTTTTGGTTACAACTTTTCAAGCGGTTGTGGAATCCTCGAAAAAATCTACATTCAGACTTTTTCAGCATACAGTGTTGTTACTGTTTATGAACTCACTGCTCCTTTATGTAATGCAGTTTGGCATTTTGTATTGTGGTAAGGTAATGTGGCAGACATTTTTCTTCAGAATTACAGAGAATGATCATTGAAGTTAGACTGTAACTAAATTGTATCTTAATGCAACTGTTTCATAATTCCTGTTGATATCAGAGTACTAGCTGTTACTGAAAAAAATTAGACTTGGGTATAGGTCAACAATGATTGGATCCTTCATTTTTAAACATCAGCTGTGCTGAGTGGAACACCTATGATTACAGTATTTTAGGTTATTCTAGAAGAAGTTACAATGATTGTGGGCCTTTTAGAGTTCTTATTTCTAACAAACAAGTCATCTGCAGTATGGTTGCCCTAAGATCACCACTACCTGCAACTAAGTTGCTTAGTTACAGTAGTGATGAGTTGCCTAACTTGGTGTTGTTCTTTAATCTAATTTTCATGGTAAAAGATTAGAGATCTAGTGGTCTCCAGATTGCTACTTCTCTCTGATATGCCCATGTATTAAAATTTTAGTAGTTAAAAGTAGGTCCATTTTTTTTATTGATGGTCTTCCATTTGAGTAATTCATTACTATTTTCAGATCATAAACTCTAGTTAGACTTTAGAAGCATTGTTTTCCTCTTCAAAACTACATTGTTCATATACATGAGTTCATGTTTAGATTTTACAGCATTCATAAATCTCCCTGAAGAGATCTCTGGGCTTTTTCTAAGAACAATATCCATCTACCCCCGCCCCAATCCCCCAAGCATGTCAAACTCTTGCTCTGTTCGTCTGTCCGTCCATCTGTCCGTCCATCTGTCCGTCCGTCTGTCTGTCTGTCTGTCTGTCTATCTATCTAGACATGGTCTTGCTGTGTAAGGAAGGCTGGCCTTGAGTCGATTATGTAGTCCAGGCTGCCCTGGCACTTGCAGAGATTTTCCTAACCTCAGCTTCTAGGTGTGCACCACCATGCCTGGCTCATTTTGCTTTTGATGAAAATAAAAAGTGCCTCTAAATACTTTTTTTAAAAAAAATGAACCCTTTTGTAGGAATGATTGTCTATTCTGACCTGTAATGAGTTTAGTTTACTGACACATTGTATATATTAATTTATTAAATTTATTATATATCCCAGCACTGTTCTAGGTACTAAATATATGGCAGTGAACCAAGTGAGAAAGTAATTCCCTTTCTGAAAGAGAATTCTGGACTTTGTAAAGATGTTAGACACTATTAAGTTGAACCTCCTCATTTTACTGATACGCAGTAATCAGTAAAATGATTTTACTGTAGCCTAAAGTGGCACTTGAATCTTACCCATGGTAAATTACTTGGTTGTCAGGACTTAGTTACTAGAAAAACAAAGATAAATGGTCTTTGTTTCAACACCCTTGCAGTGTACATAGGGAGGACATATAACTGCATGCTTCATTAAATCATCTTTACTAAATAGCTAATAGCTAAAAGTAGAGTTTTTACATAATAGAATTGCATGTAAAAGATCTGTTTAGAGAAACAAAATGATCATGGCTTTGTGGTCTTGTGTTAAAGCTGAAACCTGAGTAAGTTTAAAAGATCATTTCAGGTATGGAACATAGTTAGCAAAAGGAATGGAAAATGAATACATCTATTTCATAACAGCATATTATGAACAGTCATGTTAAATTGAAGGGTAATGTCCAGTTTCTTCTGTGCCATGCTTTTTGTGAAACTTTTGCTTTAGTCATTGGTAGTGACTATTTTTGTAAACATTTGCTAATTGGAATTTTTTTTTCTTCCATTTTTGGGCTTATTCCTCTTCTATAGTCTTCATATTATCAAAGGTAGTTTAATTATTGTAAGTACATAGTGCATTTTGTTTTGAATACATTTTGAAATTTTCTGTGGACAATGGGACTTAGGTAATTATTAATAGTTGATAAATTCTTTTAAGGAACTAAATTTGTATTGGTAGGTGTTGTCTACATCTACTGGCCTAACAAAGACGGTGTATAATCCAGCTGCTTTGAAGGCTGCACAAAAAACCTTACTTGTTTCCACGCCTGCAGTTGATAATAATGAAGCACAGAAAAAAAAACAGGTAAGTTCAGGTACTATAATACACAGACAAAAATTGGATGTGGGCAAACTTTTGTGTTTACCACAGAATAAAAATAAAGACTGTGTTGACTACTACTGAATGTTTATCCCGTTGTATTTTTTTCCTTGAATATTCCTGATTTCTCTCTGAAACATGCACACAAATTTCAGGTTTACATATAATTTTACATTGGTAGTTTTTTAACCAAGCTTCTACAGTATAGCAACTTTTCTTCTCTGGAGTTATTTTATCACTTAATAGTAGTCTAATGATATTTTTGATCCTTGACTCTAGGAGGCATTGAAACTTCAGCAGGATGTAAGGAAAAGGAAACAGGAAATTTTAGAAAAGCACATTGAAACACAGAAGGTAAAATAATAAAATTAAGATTTGATGAAGCATACTCTATAAATGTTACAATTTTTATGAATTTAATCTTATCCTATTTAGCTGGTTTGGAGAAACAGATTTACTTAATTGGTGTGATAAAGGTGAAATGCTTATCAATGACATCGTATCATCAGTATTATGTATTATATTAAAATTGCATATTGGGGATGATGAACATACATTAAATAATGAACATAGTTTATTGAAACTGGCTATGAATGTGAAAAATATGAGTTAGTATTCAACTATATTGGTGTACAGTAGTTTGATCAACAGATAATGAAGGAAAACTTTCTCAGTGTTGATTTGTTCCTTTCTATATTGGCTTAGGGTCCTCTAGTGGTGTGCTGTCTGTTTCAGTACCCAATAGCCACATCTGACTGTTGAGTGTTGAGAGTATATCTAGTCCAAGCTGAGATGCAAGTGTAAAATGCAGACCAGATTTTTGTAATATAAAGACAAAAATGTAAAATGTTTTAGTTTTTGCGCAAATGTAGCATTTGGGATATTTTACGTTAAGTAAAATATATTACCACTTTAATTTTATTTATCTTTTTAATGTAAATACTAGAAAACTAAATATTACTTATGTGACTGCTATTTCCTTTCAGCAGTGTTTTTTTGTTTTTTGTTTTTTGGGTTTTTTTTTTTTTGTTTGGTTGATTTTTTTGAGAAACCAGGGATTGAACGCAGGCCCTTGTGCCTGCCAGGGAAGCGCTTATTCCACTGAGCCATCTCCCCGGCCCCTCAGCAGTGTTACTGTCATTTATGAAATTTAATTAGTGTCCATTCTTCATTATGTCTAGTATTGAAGGTTAGTAGAAAATTTGAAAATACAGAAAATCTATTTAAATTAGAAATGTACGTCTCTTCTAATTTAAATTTGGATTTACTGCATAAAGAGAATTCAAGATGCTTTGCACCAAAAATTGAAGCTATTGTAACTCAAAGATTGCATAATACTATGTGGTTTCTTCCACATGTACTTTTTTTTGGTATTGGAAATTGAACTCAGGACCTTGCACCTGGCAGGCAGGCTCTGTGCTGCTGAGTGCTGTCCTTGGCCCCCCACATACACATACTACCTTACTTGTTTCCTGTATTCTGTGTTGAGGATATCATTCTCAGGCTAACCAGTTAGTGTTCCTTTTGATAAAGGAAATAAATATTAGTTCAGTATTTCAAATTTCTTACATTAGAGAGGAACTGCATCTCTGTCTTTTTGGTTTACACATTACATTTGGAGTGAGGATACCGAAGAGGCATCATATCAACAAATGGATTAGAAAGTAAAATTTATATTCCTCTGACTTTGAAGGGATTGAATTTGGATTTCTTCTGGTTGTGTGTTGTGAATTTATATACTAAGGGAACTAAATGGTAATGAGTTCTGTAACAGAAAGAAAAATAGTGAGACCAGGAGTGAGGAACACTGAGCTTCATGTGGATCTACTGTCCTGCTGTACTCACACTCTGATAGTAATCAGCTTTATCAATGATACAGAAACTAAAAGTATAACTTATTTTATTTTTTGCTTTGTTAATAGTACCTTATGATTTTTCTATTTAAACATTGGCAGATGTTAATTTCAAAACTAGAGAAAAATAAAGTGATGAAGTCTGAAGATAAAGCAGAAATAATGAAAACTTTAGAAGTCTTGACAAAAAATATTACCAAGTTGAAAGATGAAGTGAAAGCCACTTCTCCTGGGCGCTGTCTTCCAAAAAGTATAAAAACCAAGACTCAGGTATTTTAAGTTGTGTTGTTATTTGTATCATTGCTTATTTTGAAACATTTAACATTGTTTTTTGAAGATTCAGTTTTAGGTAGTATTCATTGTTCAAAAATCTAGAGGTTTTTGAAGATTTAGTTTTAGGAAATACCCATTGTTCAAATATCTAGCCGTTGTGAACTTTATTAACCTTTTGGGTTCCTGTGAAGCTAGTATTGGAAAGTCAGTAATAAGTAAAATAATTATGGGTAATTTTGAAAAGGGAGTTTAGGGATTAAGTTATATAGTATTTGATTGTTTTACAGAGGAGTTTGATCCGCCTAAGTAGTTGGCAGATATAAAAAGGCAATGACAGAGAAGTAACATTCTTTTTTTTAAAATTAATTTTATCAGTACATTTTAGATACACATAATGATCACATTCATTACGTGTACATGATATATCTTGAGTCTTTTTTATCCAGTGCCCTTTCATCCCTTCAACTCTTCATCCCCCCTAATTTACAGATGTTTTGTTTCTATTTTTTCCTCCTAGTCTCTGTTTCTTCCTTTTCTCTTCCTTCCCCATCCCCCCTTGTTCCCCTTCTCATTTGAACATTATTCTCCTATTTTGCAAGAACTTTTATACATGTTGGTCCTTAATACCATTTCAATTTCTCACACCAGAGAAGTGATGTGATATTTTAACATTGGTGTCTTGCTTTATTTCATGAGAAGTAACTTTCTAAAAGCACTATACAGAATGGATTTTTTGGAAGGGGGGTAAATTTGAGTAATCTGATACAAACAAGTGAGCAAGATAATTTCAGATGGTAAAAACTGGTTAATAATACAAGATTATAGGCTAATTATACAGGTACATGTATACTTGCTGTATTGGTATATGTAAAATGAATATTAACATTTTTGATTTTAACCCACCACATAGTTTCACTTTTTATTCCATATTATGTAGTCCTACTTCTATCAGTATATTATTCATTGACACCACATCTATCATACTCAAAATAGTTGTGAAATTGTTTGAACAGTATTACTTTTTTTTTAAACACCTACGATATTTATTTATTTTTTGCCATAATTTTATTGAGAAACAAACAGCAATGAGACAGTTTCAAACCAAATTGGTAGGACAGATTCAATAATTAACACACTGCACACATTCTTCCTAGTGGTTAATTGCTGTACAAGATGCGGACATGAGATCCTATTTACAAACACCATTAGAACAAATCATTCTATTTATTAAGAGAATGTAACTATATATCTCAAAATCACTTTGAATACACAGATACAAAATGGACATTCATCTGTATACCCTTTTTTTGTTAAGTTCCGTTATTTGAATATTATAGGTGTGTAAACTCAGCAAAATATTCTAAAAGAGTCCAGTAGCCTGTAATAGTATTGGGTCTTCTGCTTAACTGGCAGTGTCAGAAATTGTTGACCTGAGTCCTCTACTGCTCAACATAACAGCATGGCTTTACTTCTTATATTTTGTTTTTTTACTTTTCTGCTGGATGGTTAAGACCAAAGTAAAGCAGACAAGAGTTGTAGCTTTTGGGTCTGATAAGGTCAGTGAAATCCCCTCAGGATTTATCCTGAGATCCTGTACCTCCAGTATTACTTCTAATAGCTAAATTTAAATTCAAAGTTTCTTCCCAGTCTTTACAAACTCAGTGTATTCCACTAAGGGTAAAAGGTGAAAACTGGTCTAGGATTACTTATGTTTCCCTCTGATACAGTATATTAATCAATATGATAAATGTCTGTTTCTGTTTGTATTCAGCTGATTGTTCTTCCCCTTGCTACAGTTCTGATTGACTTAATTTTATTATTTGAATAAATAAAACATTAACATGATTTAAAAACCAAACTGCATAAAAAAGTGTGTATAGAAAGTCCTTTGATTCCTGATACTCTTTTTTATGTCCTAGGTAACCAATGCCATCAGTTATGGTTTACCCTTTCAGTACTTTTTGGGGTATGTGTGTAAACAAGCAATTGTGGGTATATTACCTACATAAAAGCATACTTTATATTGCTGTTATTTCTACAACTGAAACCTATTAAAGGTCTTGGTTTTTTTGTTTCCTTTTCACAACTACTTCCTGAAATTACTCCATAACCATAGAAAGCTCACTCTGGCTGCTATATAGAATATACATTATGTGGCAGTCAGTATAAGTAGAAGTAATTTAAGAAGCTCTTGCAGTATTACTGAACAGAGGTAGTTGGTAACTAGAGTAATAGTACTGTCTGTAGAAATGAACTTTATGCACTGTTTTAGTTATTTATTGCTGAGACAAAATACCTGACCTCCAGAGTTAAAGGGGAAGAAGGTTTATTCAGCTTACAGTTTGTAGAGGGTTTAGTCTGTAATTGGCTGGCTCCAAAGCAGGGTAGAAGGATGAGAGTTCATGGCGGTGGATGACAGCAAAAGCAATAAGAATACAAGTCTATTTCTGCCCCTTCTATCTTTATCCAGACTGCTGTGCCAGTCCAGTCAGTGAACTGATACAGCAATCACCCTTAATCCCAGCAGCCTTAATGCCAGCATTGCAGTATGAATCATCCACAAACTCTAGATTCAACCATGTCTAACAAAAGCCCTGTGAGCACATGAGGCTTTGGGGGGCTATCTAGACACAAACCATAACATGGACTAAATAGAAATGTAGAAAATGATAAATTCAGAATTTTCTTTTTCAGGAAAAAATTATTATAATGTAGGATATTGTTTCCTAAAATATTAATTACTATTTTTCTAGATGCAGAAAGAATTACTTGACACAGAATTGGATTTATATAAGAAAATGCAGGCTGGAGAAGAAGTCACTGAACTTAGGAGAAAGTATACAGAATTGCAGCTGGAAGTATGTTTTATCACATCTATTCCCAGACACTTAAAAACAAGTAGATGTAGCTGTAGTGGTCAACTTAAAAATGTTTCTCCTTTGTTCATGTTGAGAATTGTTGACGTTGGAGAGAGGGAAGAGGTTGACAGTTTTTCTTTTCACAATTTCTAGAGAAAAATCTTAATGAGGAGTAGTAGTTCTAACTATACATTCAAGTTCCTCCATTTATAGTGAATTTTTTTCTTTCCTTTGTGGTTTTTCTTTCTACAACTGAAACCTATTAAAGGCTTTTCAGGTACTCTTATGGAGACACTTCACATTTATAGGCTTAAATTGAATTGCTCTGAAGAGCAGACTTCCAGGGGATAAAACTGTTTTGAAAAGTGTGCTTACTTAAGTTTTGCCTATAGATGGTGCTGCAGGTGCAGTAAAAGAAAATAAACTATTTTCTTATAATTCAGTTACTGCTTATTTATATGAGAAATGCTTAACAAAATTGGTGTTTATAATATGACATGAAAATTTTTAGTATTTAGCAGAAAGATATTTAAAGTTAGAATTACCTTTTGAAACACACATTAATGGCATTTATACATTAGGGACATGTCTTTATTCACTGATACAATAAAGTTTTTGTGTATTTTTTACCTAACTTGATTATAATACATTCTTCAAATTGGTTTTTCAAATACAGTAGAAATCTGTTGAGTACTATAATACAGGTATTAAAAAACTGTTGCTTTATAATAAGCAAATTCTTATTGCTTTAGGTATTCAACTTGTCTTAAGGCCATATCTTGTCGGAGAGTCAGAAGCAGCTTAGGATATTGTCCTAAACTTACATTTGTTTGTATTCTTTGGAAACAGTTGTGTATGTGCCTCACCTAAGATAGAAAATTTCAAGTGTGTCTTATGTTAATACAGAAATTTATGTTCTCCCATTCTGGGGGATTCCATGTCACTATTGACATAAAAAACAAAATATCGTTTAAAAATTCTGGCCTATAATTAGATGATGGTATAATTAAAATTTATTATTAGTCATGTTTTTCTTCCTATTATTATATAGCTAAATACTAAATGAGAATTTCTATTTTCCTGTTATAGTAGTTTGTGTTTCACAGTCAGTGCACGAAATCATGCAGTATTTTCTAGTGGATGCTCGCTTACCACAGGAATTCTCATTTTTAGGATAAGTTAGTGAAATCAAAAATACTCCAAAATCTGAAACCTCAAAATTTTGAATTTTTGGATTAGGGATGCTCTACTGGTGCAGTCTATGCAAATATTGTACAAATGTTGCCATTTCCACTATGGTTCTAGATATTTCAGATAAAAGACACTCAATTTTAATTACCATATTTTTTAAAACTGTGTGTCTGATCTCTTCTAGGCTGCTAAAAGGGGGATTCTTTCATCTGGACGGGGTAGAGGAATTCATTCAAGAGGTCGAGGTGCAGCCCATGGCCGAGGCCGAGGGCGAGGCCGAGGGCGAAGTGTGCTTGGTCATGTTATGGTTGATCACCGTCCTAGAGCATTGGAGATTTCTGCATTTACAGAGAGTGATAGAGAAGATATTCTTCCTCATTTTGCGGTACTTTTTTACTGTCCAACAAAACAGATAGTGATAATCATCACTGGAGATAATTTGTATAAAGAGGAATTATGAAAACTTGCCTAATTTAAACTCACTGAGCTAAGCAAAGGGTTTGATTGTCCATAATAATCTTTTGAAAAACTATAAATTAAAACTGTACAATTTTTTTAATTACCTAGAAGAAATCGTATAATTCTTATACTGAGGTCTTTAAATATTGTGAAATGAATGATTTAATCCTTACTGTTTAAGAGAAGGCCAGCCAGTAATTCAGTTTTGTTAACTTTTACATATTACATAAGCTATCCAGAATATTTAAGAGAAACTAAAGTGGGCTGGCAAGATAGCTCAGCAGACTGAGTGCCTGCTTAAGCAAGTGCAGGGACTGGGGTTTGATCCCTGATACCATCAGCCACACCAACCCCACCCCCAGGTGTGCTGAGCCAGCCACCAAGACTAGGCATGATGGTTCATGCCTAAAATCCCAGTGCTGGGGAGGCTGAAAACAGGAGAATCACTATGAGTTTTAGCTGTGTGGTGAGGCCCTGTATCAAATACATAAAAAAAAAATTTTTTTTTAAATGGATTTTCATGATCCATCTCACCAGAAATGATGTATTTTGAAATGATGTATTTTGATATCTTAAGGTTGTCTTGGTCAATGAAAGGTTGTAATTAAAAAGAACCTCTCTAAAAGTAAAAGATATACCTGAAGGAGTCTTATGATTCATAGTTTAAATTGAACTTGGATTTTTTAGGTTTCATGTGCAGGATGGAAAAGATTTAAGCCACCTTAATCCTTTTCCATCGTAAATGTTGTGTTCTTAGTGATATCCCAAAGGTTAGTAACTAAGCATCAGTTTTATCCTCAGCTTTACAGTAATTACTCAGAAGGTATGAAGCAAATGGTTCTTTCTACTGTGAAAGCTTTTATATGTATTGATTTAACACAGACCCATTAAAGTAAACCATAAGCAGTAATGAATTTCATTTTATTAAATATAAAATTTTTAGCAACTTAGATAAGCATCTTTAACATTGACATGATGGAATAAAAAGAGAGGAGGAAAGTTTTAAGCAGGTACTAAAACTGGACTTTAGATTGTGGAAAAAAAGTGGGTTTTTTTCTTTTTTCTTTTGCGGTACTGGGGATCGAATTCAGGACCTTGCACATTCCAGGCAGGTGCTTATGCTGCTGAGCCATCTCCCCAGCAAGAAAAGTAAACTTGTAGATAGGTATACAAATGATTTAACCTTTTGAAAAGTTAGATTTCAGTGTTTGAGAGTCCTAGTCCAGGCTTACAGCATTTAACAGATATTTTGTCAGAACATAAGGATGGTATTAAAAGAAATGGTTTTTGTTTAAGAAATAACTAAAATGAGTAATATTTAAGAATGAGGATGATGGAAACAAAGGGATAAAGAAAAAAATCAGAGAACTAGAAAGGAACTTGGAGTAATCTAGCCCAACTCTTCCCTGCTGTGTATCTTACTCCACACCTTTCACAAAGGAAAGGCGATCCAGATAACTTAAGTGTCTTGCATGTAGTTACACAGCAAATCAGGAAACTAGCAGTGACTCTACTAAAATATCTGAACAAACAAGGTGAGTTTGTTATGGTTGTGTTTTGGTGAGACGAAGATGGCTTTGCTTTGAGAAATATGCAGAGCCTCTCAATGGACATTTTTCCATCCACTTGAAATTTGAGCTCTACTGAAGAGTTGACAGTGGTAGTGCACATTTGAAAATCACACATCTTAAAATAAAATTCAAGTTTAAAGTTTAACTTCTCTAGCTCAGCCAATGATTTGAACACAGGAAAGATTAGAGGAAGAAAAAACTGACATTATTAAAGGTCTATTGACTGTTACAAATTGTGATTACCATAATGCTAGTTTTATTCATTGGGCTAGTAATAGTGATAAAACTTACAGCTAAAATTTATAAAGCACATACTTTATAGCAGTTGTTACTCTGAGCGCCTTAACTCTTTAACTTAACTCAGTGTTCTTAGGTTTTGTTTGGACCACTCCATGACATAGGTACCTTTATTATGCCCATTCTCAATATGAGGAAAATGAAACATGAAGAGACTAGGTAACTTGTGCAAGTTCACACTGTTAACTACTAGTGACGGGTGTGAGTGGCTCTAGAGTCTCTCTCTACTGTACTCTGCAGAACTTTTCTGTAGAATTTTTAATGAGATAATTTTAGTTTTCAATAGAATGTATTAATAAAGGACTAGTGTATATACAATTGATGTGATATAAGTTGCTGTTGTAGAAAAATCTTCCTATACATGATGGAAAAACCCAATAATCGAAAACCGGCATAGGGGCTAGGGATGTATATAGCTCAGTGGCAAGTGCAAAGTCTTGAGTTCAATTCCAGGTACTCAAGGAAAAAGTATAATGTGTTTAGCTTTTTTTTTTCTCTTTTTTTTTTTTTTTTTGTACCTTTCATATTTTATTTACTCTTACATGTTCAGCTTTTAAATGTCTTACAAGAGTATATGTTATGACAGAGTATATAGCAAATCAAAGCATGGCCAGCTAGAATGTTACACTTTTGAATCAGGAAGCGTAGGCTGTCATCTTGGTAATTTATTCCTTTGAGAAAATGACTGAAATTCTCTGAAACCATTCCCACCTTACATATTGAAAATGATTTGAAAAATTCAGAGAATTTCTTTAAAGATTCAGGATGCTGCTTAAGAAACAATTTAGCTTGTCTTGGGACTGGAGTAATACTGGAGGAATGAAAAGTCAGTAAAGAAGCTCAGATTTGACCATTGATAAAGAGTACTTCAATTTCACTAATTTGGGAAAGTGTGTAATTTGAAGTAAGATTAGAAGATAAGACCATCCTTTAGATGATCTAATCGTATTAAGTATTAAAATGAGTTATTTACCATTCTTTCTCTGGAAACCTGTAAAAATTGTTACATGTTATGGGTTATACTTACAAGTATTTAATTGCCTTTGAGATTTCTGTATGTTTCGAAATACTTATTTGGAGTAAATACTTTTTCATATTTAAAGCAATATGGTGAAATTGAAGATTATCAGATTGATGACTCATCACTTCATGCAGTAATTACTTTCAAGACAAGAGCAGAAGCAGAAACAGTAAGTATTAAAATCTGTCAAAAATTAAGATGATTAATACTAAGTTTTCATATAACTGAATTTTATTTTATTTATTTTTTTGTTTTGTTTTTGGGTTTTTTTTAATGTCTTTTTTTAAGTTTGTATTTTATTTTTTAATTTTATTTGTGTGTGTGTGTGTCTGTGTGGGTGTGGCCAGCTCAGCCCACTAGGGGGCGGGGCTGGCTGGCATGTGGTGCTGGGGGATTGAACCACCGTCCCTGTGCTTTGCTAAGCTTGTTCTAAGTAGGTGCTTTAGACCACTGAGCCATCTCACCAGCCCATATAACTGAATTTTAAAATGTACTGAATAAACTACATCTTCACAAGAGGTAGAATATTTTAATTCATTCCCACAAAGAATGTCTTATTAATCCAGTTAGACATGGAATGTGGTATTCATTAGAATATATATGTAGTTAGTCACCAAGTTGAATGTCAAATTGTATTGTCTGGAGATGTCAGATATTCTTTTTTTTTTTTTCTTTCTTTTCTTTTTTTTACAGGAATTAGGACCATCTTCCTTCCTGTTACTCTTTTTTTTCAACTGCACCTGAAAATAATTCTACTTGGCATAGTACTAAAGTGGTAAGGGTTAAGATAGATTGTAGGGAGAATAAAATCTTGTTGTCCACTCTTCCTATTTCTTCATGTGCTGCTTCCAGGCCCCAAGAGGCTTAGATTCTGAAGAAGTGTCACCAGCTCAGCATAGCCTCCCAAATACATCATTACCATTATTTGCTCAAGATATAAAGTATAGCTTAAGCTTTTAGAGTACTCTAGTTTTTTAGGTTGTTGTATCTTGAATTGTCTTTGCAAAGACTGACTGGAAGTATCTGCATCTTGTCTTTCATTTGAGTTTAAAAGATTGATTTAAGGGGGGGAAAAGTGTGGGGGATTCATAGGACCTTTTTCTTACAAAAGCCTTGGGTGGGTGGGTAACATAGTATAAAGATTTTGATCATGCCATTATTCCATGGACTAATTTTCTGGATAACATGTAAACAGAGTAATAAGATGATATTCAGGGGCTGGGGAGATAGCTCAGTAGAATAAGCACTTCCCTGGCAAGTGTAAGGGCCTGAGTTCAATCCCCAGTTCCACCAAAAAAAAAAAAAAAAAAAGAAAAAGAAAAAAAGATGGTATTCAGAAGGTTTTAAATTGATGGGATCTAAATATGGTCTGAAAAACCTAAATTGCTGGGCATAGTGCCACACAACTATAATACCAGCATTTTGGAGGCTGAAGCAGGAGGATTGCTGAGAGTCCTAGGCCAACCTGGGCTATATAGTGAGTTTAAGGTCAGACAGAACTGCTTGGCAAAACCTTGTCTCAAAAACAAAAAAAAAAAAAAAAAGAAAAAAGAAAGAAAGAGAAAACTTAAATTAGTGTATCCCTTGGGTAGTGAATATTCCTCCCAGCACAGTTGTTAAGGGCTTATTGGTAGAAGTTAATATTGTTCTCAAAGGATTCATTGTAATAGGTCTAATGATACTCAGAAAATTGTTCAAGTTGGGTGTGGAATAACCTAGTTTGGGGAGTGGAGGTTGGGAAGTGGATAAGGGATTTTTTTTTTTTTTTTTTTTTTTTTGTATTAACAGAAAAATTTTTATTTAGAATAAACTTCTATGTCTAGCAAGGGGATTCTTTTCTACAATTGTAATTTATGATTATAGAGTTTTATTTTTAAAATATAGAGGGTTTTGTTTTTCTTAGGCATTGGGGGTTGAACCCAGGGCCTCTCCTGCCTGCTAGGCATGTGGTCTACCACTGAACTGTACTCCAGTAATGAGATCTAGTTTTGAGTAATTTTTTCATATGAAGAGCTTTTGTGAAAAAATAAATTTATTTCTGCTGAGAGTTCAAAACTTCCTTATGAACCTGTATATATACATACTACATAGAAAAAAGGATTTTCATCCAAAGATGATATTGTGTACTTTTTTTTTTCCTTCTTTTTTGTGGTTCCGGGGATTGGAACTGAGGACCTTGCGCTTGCCAAAGGCAGACACTTAGGCCACTGGGCTATATCCCCAGCCAACATTTTGAATAAGGTTCTTTTTCAGTGATGGCTTCAGTGAGTATTTTCAGTCTCACAGAAGAGAAATTTGAGCAAAGATCTTACCGTCTATTTTGTAGGAGGTAATATTATAGTGTTAGTTGTTATTGTATAGATGGTTAAAATATTATGAAGTTGTGGATTTAATGAGTACTTAAAAAGTATATGTACTACTGTCTGAGTACCTGGTTTGGGGAATGAGAAAGGAATCTTCTTTTTTTTTAATTTTATTTTTAATTTTTATTTTTTCCCATAATTTTATTGGGAAACAAATAGCAATGAGGCAGTTTCAAACCAAATTGGTAGGACAGTTTCAATAATTAACATATTGCATACATTCTTCCTAGTGGTTAATTGCTGTACAAGATGCGGACTTGATATCCTATTTACAAACACCATTAGAACAAATCCCAAGAAAGCAATCTTCTTAAATAATTTCTAGAGTTTTGCCCTTGGAAAGACCTGTTGATATATTCTTTCTTTGTTAGATTTTGCTAATTTGGCTTTTAGTGTATATTTTAATGTTTTCTGCACTGTGTATCTTTCCCAAAATGAATGAAGAAAAAAAACCACTTTAGGAATATGCAAGAAAGACTAACATTGAATTGTGAAGGTTGGTAAGTGATACAATGAAACTGAATGAGTTACCTTTGTGAGCACTAGTTTGAGCTCATTAGGCTGAAAAGAGTAACTACCACTGCTATGATAAACATTGGAATTAAGTTAGAAAAATTGTTAACATTTCCTTAAGCCTAAAGTTTCATAACATTTTGTAACATTCTGCTTTGAAAAGAATGGAAAATGAAGTTGAAGCTTATTTTATGTAAGCAATGATGTAAATGAGAGAAGGGGTTTTGAAACTTCTGAATTTGAAGGATCAAAATTGTTTAGGGAGGCTGGGGAGATAGCTTAGTAAGGGTCTGAGTTCAATCCCGGGTTCTGCCAAAAAAAAAAGGAAAATTGTTTAGGAATTTAAAAATTAATTTCACGAAAGGGTATCAGTGTTGTTTTTATGAAAAATGTGTAAAAAACCAGATTGACATATACCGTCATTACCATATAGTATGAAGGAAATTCTAGTATTGAAAACATGGGACATAAATTCATAATAAAAGGCCTTTACACACCCCCCCCCCCATCAAACTCTGGACCTTGTGCTTGCCATACAGGCACTTAAGCCACTGACTGAGCTCCCTGGCCAAGGCCTGCCTTATAGAAGAAAATTATTAAGCTTTTTGTTGATGTTAATTTCTAAATATTGTTGTTTTCTAGACCACTGTTCTAGATGATTGAGTTTTTACTTTTTTTAACCAAGAGATGCATGTTTCAAGATGAAAGTAGGAATAGAATAATGGAGATATTTTTCACATTACTTCAAACTGAAAAATTTTCCCTAGGGAAAAAGGTGGGACTATTTTAAAGAGATAGCAATAAAAAAAACCAAAACATTTTAACCTCTCAGTTAAAAGTTATCGTTTGACTCTGTTTAGAACATTGTTCCTTTTTTTTTTTTTTCCTTTTTTGATACTTTTTAAAATATTAGTACATTTGTAGTAAATTCCTTGTAGGTAGTTGGTACATGTGCATAATACATCTTAATTCCTTGTTTTTTCTCTGAGACAGGATCTTACCATGCAGTTCAGGCTGACCTTGTGCTCACTTTGTAGCCCAGGCTGGTCTCGATCTTGCAAGATCTTCCTGCCTCAGCCTCATGTGCCCCACCCTGTCCTGCTGCTAATTACTTTTTTGATTTGCGCTCATTCCACTCATCCCTTGGTCTCCTTTTTATTTCAGTGCATGATTGCAGTACATAGTGTTTATGTTCCTTGTGTGAAGTTGGTATACATATATATTTATATAACACATCTTAATGCTTTTATCCCCTATTCCTCTCCTCCCTGATCCCTCCCTGCCTCTCTTGAGGCCCCCCTTTCCTTTGAGAAAAATCTTTTCCTACAGAAGTAGCCTTATCACATTATTAGTGTTTTTTTTTTCTTCTGTTTTCCATGTACTTTTAAGGACCTGTGTTCTTTTTCAAAACAGGGACAGTGAGGTTCCTTTAGAAGAATCAGTCCCAAAGATCAAACCTGTAGTCTCAAACTCAAAAGTACAGTTTTTTTTTTTTTTAATATCAAAAGAACCTTGTTCTACCAGCTGTTTGACACCATTACTCAACTCTCAGAAGTTGTGAGGATTTACTCTTTTAAAACATGTAATTTATGTGGTGCCTTAGACATAGTAAACCTTATTATTAGTTATTGTACTTATTTTTAAAAATGAGTAATTGATAAAATAGTGAAATGGGATGAAGACTTGATGAAATAAATGATCCTAAGACTCATACTCGTAAACCTTAAATTAGAAATGCACAATTAGGTTCATAGAGCATTATGCAAAATCAGTCAGAAGTTGAAGGTGCCAAGTTAATGATGAATTTATAAGAATAACTGCATAAATGAATTCAGTAAAACATCAGGTTAAGTACATAGAGATGTTTGTGTGTGTGTGTGTGTGTGTGTGTGTGTGTGTGTGTAAGTAAGGACTGTATAATACCAATGACCCTATTTTGAAATAGGAACCTTATCTAGATTTTTCTTTTTTCTTTTTTTTTTTTTTTTTTTTTCAGAACCGGTGATTGAGCTCAGGCCCTTGTACTTGCCAGGCAAGCGCCTATTCTACTGAGCTATCTCCCCGGCCCCTGGGTCTTTTTTTTATAAACAAAATTAAAATTTTAAGAAAATCAGAGCCACATAAGCCCTCCCTGGGTTTTGTTATTTAGGAAAATAGCATATTTTGACATAGTACTTAGATTAAAACACAGTGGCTCTGTAATTTATATTACTAAGTACTGCTACATGATAGGCATTACTACTAAGTGAAATCTAGGTCTGAAGCTTATGAACAGGTAGCCAAGTACCTTTAA